CACACACCAGTTCCTTCCCTCCAGCACCCCACATTCCTCTCCACACACGCACCAGTTCCGTTCTTGCATTCCTCTTGTTTCTGTCTACACATGCACAAAGTTTCCTTTCCCTCTTGTCCCTGGCCCCCCACAATCTAAGTTTCCACTTCCTTCCCTTCCCTCTGAGTTCCTTTTATGTGTGTATCTCTCGCTCTCACTCCCCCCCCCCCCTTTGTTTTGTGTGTATATCTATATCTAAATGGTAATTTTGGCTATTTTTCATAACTGGCGGTTTATCTGCCAGCACATAAAATCTTCTCCTTTATAGGCACTCACAAAGAACTTCCATCTTTCAAAATGGCCTCTCTCCCCTTAGTTCTCAAGGGGAGTTGAAACCACAGCTTCCCTCAGATTTCAAAATTTCCACTGCATGCATCCGATGACGTGGGTTTTAGCCCACGAAAGCTTATGCTCAAATAAATTTGTTAGTCTCTAATGTGCCACAAGTACTCCTGTTCTTTATGTGACTACTATGTGCCTGTGGTCTTCATCTACCTGATCCCAGGTTCCCAGCACACTGTGGACAGGGTGGTGGCTGTATTCTACACCACGGTGAGCCCACTCCTGAACCCCCTCATCTACACTTTGAGAAACAAGGAGATGAAAGCTGCCCAGATGAGATTGGGGGAAAGCAAACTGCTGGGACCTGAGCCATGATTATCCTGCGTCCAGCAGGAGCTGTCTGGGAACTGAACAGGGAGAGAGGGATTTGGAGATTAGCATCAGGACTCCTGGGTCCTCTCCCTGGCTCTGGGAGGGGAGTGGGTTCTACCAATTGAACTCCAGGTTCCTGGGCACTATTGGAGTTTGTTCCAATTCTCTTGTGGGTAGAGACACCCAGATTGGCACTTGAGACTCTTGGGTTATATTTCTGTTTCTCAGAGAGGAGTGGTGTCTGGTGGTAAGAGCAGGGAGGGCTGGGAGTCAGGACTCCTGGGTTCTTTGTTTACAGCTCTGCCACAGGCCCCTGCATGACCTTGGGCAAGTCACTTGGCATCAGTTTCCCCATGCAGTTCATTTCCCTACTGCCTAACACCCAAGGTTGTTAGACCAAAGTCATTACAGACTGGGAGGAGGAGGAGGAGAGGCTCCAGTCGCAGGAGCCAGAGAAAAGCCATTCTGGCCACATTTCAAGCTCATCTAAGAAGGGATACCGGGGCAGAATCCAAGATGTTGGACTTGCTTTAGGAACACAGCAACAGCCAAACGGCATCAGACCATTGGTCCATCCGTCCCATTAGCCCAGTCCTTGGAACTGTCCAAGCTCTTCAGCTCATAAAAATAACATGACAGCATATGTCACCACATGGTCTTATCTTTGTAAACCCCACCCCTACCCCATACCCAGTATACCACATGCACTTGTTTTGTCTTTTCTCTGATTAGAATGTCCTCTCTTCAGGACCTCTATCTCTGTGCAGCACACATGTAACCTGCAATGATTCTCAAAGAAGGAAGGGTCTGTGGTGAAGGCATTGGAGTGGGACTCCACATAGGCACTGACCACATGGGTGCTCTGGGGCTGGAGCATCTATGGGGAAAAATTGGTGGGTGATGAGCATCCATCGGTAGCTCCCTTATCAGTTGGTCCCACCCCCCCAGTGCCTCCCACCCGCTGCCAGGCCCCGCTGATCAGTGCCACTCCCTCCCATCCTGTGCCTCCTGCCCGCTGTAATCAGCTGTTTTGCAGCATTCGGGAGACTCTGGCAGGGAGGAGGGAGGAGAAAGGACGTGGCGCACTCAGGGGAGGGGGTGAAATGGGGCAGGAAGAGGCGGGGCCAGGGTGGAGCAGGGGAGAAGAGGCAGGGCTGGGGTAGGGCCTTGGGGGAAGGGGTGGAGTGGGGGTGGGGCCTGGGGCAGAGCTGGGGGTTGAGCACCCTCCAGCACTTTTGAAAGTTGGCACCAGTGGGACTCCAGACAGCCTGTGTCACTTGCACTCTGCTTGCCTTGGTTTCCCATCTGTAAAATGGGACTAGTGCCACTTCCTTTAGGCTGTTTAGATCATAAGCACTTTAGGACAAGGACTGACTCTGCACAGTGCCTGCCACAGTCAAGGCAGATTCCCAGCTGGTGTGAACCCGCCTTAGCTCCATTGGAGTCAATGGTTCAGATCTCCAATTGATGTGAATTGAAGTCAGTGGGAACATGTCAGTTTATACCAGTAAGGGGCTGGTCATATGGCCATATCTATATGTAGTGAGATTTCTATAACTTTTTGGCCCAGTAGAATTACTTTCCTTGGTGCTCAGTTCATTGTGTGTCGATGTAATCAATTTTTCAGTCATAGAGGTTTTCGTTCCCATCTAGTGGGTGATGTTTTCCCCTGCGCAGGTCCATTGAAAACCCAATTTTCCACCAAAGAAAAGCTTCAAGGGATCATTTATTACTAGTCCTTAATAATGATGATAGTGACTGGCTTTTTATATAACTCAAGATGTTCTCATCTGTACATCTGTCTGATCCTTTTTTGAAATCTAAAAAGCTCTTGGCCTCAGTATCTTGTGGCCTTGAGTTTGTCAGGCTAAGTGTGCAAGTATAAAAACTAGTTTAGGGCTTAAGTGGTAAGTAACCAGTGAGCAGACCATCTGCGCCCCCTGGTGAACTTCCTATCACACTTTTACTTGAGGGTGGGAATTTCAAAGGCATCTCCCAGGAGCTAAGTGTCTAACTACCATAGACTTTTGTCTTCCTTTGGAAATTCCAGCCTTAAAATCCAACTATTTTCATTTCATATTTTTACTGTTCTCTTAAATTTCTCTGCCGGTCTCATAAATGGGCCCAGTCCTCTCCAAACACTGGATTCCAGATTTATTTTTCATTGGAACACCTAGAAAAAGCACAGAAAACGTAGAGACAAGTTCCAATCAAACAACAGCTGAGGGCAGGAAACAAGAAAAAAAAACCATTTTATTCCCAGGTTAGGTTTATTCCCACTCCATATTACTCAAACTTCAAGCACAACCGCATGCAGAAGACACAATACATAAGCAGCACAAATCCAAAACACATTGTGAGTGAGGACTGTAGAGTTCTCACATTAGTTTAATCTTCTATTAGCATTTTTATTCCTTTTTTTACTTATTTATCTTTCTAGCTCTATCTAAGTAGAGGGTGAATTTTTAAAAACCACCTATTTGACTTAGGAGAGTAGGTCCCATTTTCAAAAGCCATTAAGGTGCCCAGTTCTCACTGAAATTCCATGGGACATAGGCCAGATTTTCAAAGGTATATTGCCACCTACAGGTGCAGATAGACACATGGTGGGATTTTCAAATGGCCTTGGAGTTTAGGCCCAGATTATTGTCACAGTTCAGAGCAACTGCACTGGTATTTCTCTATAGTGGTCCAGCAGGGGCATCTCTCTTAGGCTTCCAGCTCTCTACCTGTAGGCTTCCTTGGGTGGAGACCCATGTCTATCTCCCTCTTGACTGGGGCTTTTCCAAGCTTAACAGTTCCCTTCACTGCATTATTCCCTCAAAAGCCAGCCTGCCTAAGCAGCCCTGCTTTGCTGCTCCCCTCTGAGTGGTGCACGGCATAATGGCCTCAGTTCTTCCTAAGCAAGCGTATTTTATTCTTATTCTTAAAAGCAATACAGAGAAAACACTAAAAACCATAAAAGAACCTACATGCATAGCAATAAGCTTAGCAGAGACCACCCCAACTCCATCATGGGCTCTGTCAGGGAATTAGTCCTTCAAACCGCACAACCGGATCTCTTCCGTGGTTACCAGCTCATAACAGCCTCAGCTCAGAACTAGCTCCTGCACGACAAATGTAGTCCATTCTTTATGCAGGATGGGGGTCTTTGATCTGGAGTTTCCAGGAGCAGGTAATCCATAGAGAATGGGTTTTTTCTCCATGCACCATAGCTTTGAAAGACCTCCAAAGTACCCCCTACCCTCCTTCACATATACTGTCCCAAACAGTTCTTTGAAGTTCCTCACATTTCCCCAAGATTCCATTCATCAGTCTCCTAGAAAAGTTACATTCAGTCCACAATAACACACACACAATTGTATTTGTAATACAACAGACCCCAAGGGATTAAACTTAATTCAATAAGGTTTATCCAAGAAATTACTGTATCTGCCACATGTTTAAAAATCTGGCGCTGGACATCAAACTCTCATTGATTTCTATGAGCAAATCTTTTGAAACTCCCACTAGGTGCCTAATTATCTTTAAAAATCTGCCATGAGGTCTAGCTTTAGGAAGAGGTTTAGTAAATTCCACTAGGCACATAGAGATTCTAAATAGGTTAGGTGTTTAACTCCTATGGCAAGTAAGTGGGAGTCTGGTGCCTGACTCACTCGAGGTGCTCTTAGAAAACTTATTAGGTGACTAAAAAATGCCTTTGAAATTCTGGTCCTCACTTCCCACAGCCTTTCAGGGAGAATAAGACTCCTAAATGCCTCCATCACTTTTGAAACTGGGAGTTAGGTCCCTAAATCACTTAGGAGGTTTTGCAAATTTTACCACAAATACATTGATCTTTAGAACATCGTGAAAAATCCAATGGTTCTCCCAGGAATTTTAGGCAGCTATCTGGGGCAGGTTCTCAGTGAGCTGTGGTTCATGCCAGAAGATGAAGGGGATTTTTTTCCTTCCCTTTTGCATTTGCAGAAGATGCTATACTTGCTTCTGAAGATCTGTGTAATAAAGCTGAGATTTACATAGTCTTCTACAAAATTTGGCACTCCGATTCCTTTTAATTTTGATCCAGACTGAGAATGCTGGTCCCTTAGACAGCTTTGAAAATGTCAGCCTTACAGTATGTTAAAAGACAGGAAGGGATTTTTAAGAGCATTTCTACGATTTGCAGAACTCCAGATAGATAGATAGGGGCTGTGTGGGGATGGGGAGAGACACAGAGGTTCACAAAAGCCATGAAATAAGCATGCAGATGTATTTGTAGATGTATTTCCATTCAACTCACATGCAATTCCTGCAGCTGCTACACATCAACATGCAGGCATTTGACCCCCTCTCAGTTTTTTCAGAGCTGCTTTCACCTCCTTGTTCCTCAGCGTATAGATGGCCGGGTTCAGCATGGGTGTCACCACATTGCCAAAGATCTGCACAGCAGTCATCAGCACTTTGCTTGGCTGGGGCTGAGTGTAGACCAGGGCACAGGGACCAAAGAATAGTGTCACCACCACCAGATGCGAAGCGCAAGTGGAGGCCGCTTTGCGCCACCCTTTGGCCGAGTTCATATTCAAGACAGAGTAGATGATCCTGATGTAGGATGCGAGGATGAGAAGGAAGCAAATCATGGGCACCAGACCAATGTTTGTCAAGGTCACGGTCTCAATGATGTACGTGTCTGCACAGGCCAGCTTGACCACCGGGAAGATGTCACAGAAGAAATAGTCCACCACATTGGACCCACAGTAGGGCAGCGTGAAGGTCAGGCTGGTAAGGATGGTGGCGTGGAAAGAGCTGGTGATCCAGGTGCCAGCGGCCAGGAGGGCACACACCCTCCGGTTCATGATAGGCAGGTACCGCAGCGGGTGGCAGATGGCTACATATCGGTCATAGGCCATGACGGTGTAGAGCAGGAACTCGGTGCTGCCCAGAAAGTGCCCAAAGAAGACCTGGGACATGCACCCGCCCAGCGAGATGACTCTGCTCTGACCCCAGAGGATGGTCAGATATTTAGGGATGCTGATGGAGGAGATTCCAATGTCCAGCACGGAGAGATTGCAAAGAAAGAAATACATGGGGGTGTGCAAGTGGGGGTCAGCGAGGATGGCTGAGAAGATGAGCAGGTTGCCCAGCAGCGTGCAGAGGTAGAAGGCTAAGAATGTGATGAAGAGGATGGTCTGGAGGCTGTCGGCATTGGGGATCCCTAAGAGGATGAAATGAGTCACCACAGTGTGGTTGACCAGCCCCATGTGGGACTCATTCCTGGGTAGGGGAGAGAAATAATGCCAGTGAGTTACTGAAACAAAAAGACCTCTCGCCCTATAGCTGCAATGGTCACCCTTCCTTCCACTGCCCCCATTATTCACTGTCATTGGGAGTGGTGTATATTTCTGTCACTGGATTGCCAGTTGGGATCACGGCTTCACTGAGCTGGCACTGATTATAGAGAGAGATAATATCTGCCTTGAAGATCTTACCATCCAGAGATGAAGAGACAAAGGGGACGTCTATTCTATTCTATTCTATTCTATTCTATGTTCTTCTTCTCTTCTCTCCTTACATACTCCAATTTCTTCAGTTCTATTCTATCTAGGCCCTTACCCCCCGCCTCCGTTTTCTCACCACAGTACCTCAGAGCCTTCCATTTGTGGCTAACGTTTCTCACTAGTAGTTTTTTCCCTCTCAGCTTTGAATGAGCTCAGCTTTGTTAGAGCTGTGACTTGTTTGGGGGTATTTATCAGGGTTAGAGAGAGAAGGAAAAGGAAAGGAGGAGAAGGGGAAGAGCCACAGCCAGAGGTGGTGGAACCAGTGGTGTTGGGGGTTCGGCAGCACCCCCTGGCTTCACATAGTTTCCATCAGATCCAGGGTTCACAGTTTGGTTCAATGGCACTCAGCACTCTCACTACACAAATTGTTCCAGGGCCCCTAGACACAGCTTGTCATCGCTCTGCAGTGAACACCAGGCTGGGCTCTGTAAATGTGACAGGGGGCTTTTAAAAGGACAGTTTTGAAGGAGAATGACAAATTGTCTGCTTGCATTTTTCCACGGAGTTTCCTAGGCAGGAGAGGCACAGGAAAGGGAGATGCTGGTGGGTTCAGGTTATGACAGATGGAGAGAGGAAGATAAATGATACAGAGACAGGCAGGCAGGTACTGCACAGGGAAGGATGGCTGGTTGGCTGGATTGATTTCTCTCTAAAGAAAATATTTGGCTGACATCTTCCTGGGCGTGAGGGAGAGACTGACAGGTTCAGAGACAGACACAGACGGAGAGACAGAGAGAGAAGAACTTTACCAAAGGAGGAGCCTTACACTGGCTGCACTGGGAGAGGCCGCTCCAGCTGAAGGGAAATCTCCCTTTCTGTCTCCTGGCCGTGACTCCTGTCTAGCACCATCCAGCTTTCTTATCCCAAACGGCCCATCGCCCAGGAGAAGTGCACAGCCTGGGTGCTTGGTATCCAACCGGGAGACCTAATCTGCAGCATATCAGCCCACACTGCTGCAGACCCCACAGTTTTCTCACAGCTTCCAGCCTCCTTACAACCTCCCTGGTCTTTAAATCTCCTTCAGGCCCTTCAGGACCAGGACTCTAAATCCCTGAGAGGCTCCTGGTCTGAGACCTTGGCAGAGTCTCCAATTAACGGAGATTGGGCATCATTTCAGCTAATGATCATGGACCTCTGGGACTGGCCCTCAGGCGGCATCAATAAGAGTAGCATCCTGGAACTGAATCGACTGGATCCCCACCTCCACCAAGGTCCAGATTCAAGTCTTGCTCCCCCTGACCTGACTCCTGAGCAATTCCATTGCATTCCCTGCGGCTCTTTCCCCTCCCAGCCATGCACCTGGTGTAAATCAGGAGTAACACCACTGCAATCACGGAAGCTGTGTAGATTTCTACCAGCTGAGAATCTGGCCCAGCCATTGGAGGGGGAATGGGACATTCATGCTCGTCTAGGCTCTCCGGCTCTGTGACACAAGCCAGCGAATTCCCCCCAGTGACGTGAAATAGGACTAAACTGGGCCGGAGGTTCAGCTGGAGGGCTCTGTATCCAGCACAGCTTTCTCCTGGGTTTGTATGTCCTGCTGTTCTCCTGCCCCCATCTCTGTGTCTCTGTGCGCACAGGGATGTATTCATGCAGTGGTGTGGTTATGTGTGAGGGTGAAATTCACTCCTGTGTAGATGGAGGACAGCCTATGTCCTGTGCACGACTTCACATCAATTTTTGCAAGATACCAGAGACTCCAAGAAGAGCATTGAATTGTTTTGGGCAATACAGTAGCTCCCAGCAACTCCAGCTAGATCCTGGCACTGTTGTTCTGGATGCGGCACAGACACAGGGCGAGACAGATCCTGCCTGTCAGAGCTCATTAGCTAACTAACCCCAACACAGTGAGAATTATCAGCCACATGTTACAAGGGGAAACTGAGGCACAGAGACTTTCATGGTGGGATTTTCAAAGGCGCCAGGCTCCCACAACTCATTCCAGTTCACTGGGCATTGGCATCCAATTCCTACTAGCCGCTTGAAACTCTCAATCAAATTGAATTGTCTAAGGTGACAAAGGGAGGTTGTGGAAGAGCCGGGAATCTGGTCCAGATTTCCTGGGTTGCAGCCTGAGCACTTCCCGTAACACCCTTCTCTATTCATTGGGATGAACCTCGCTCTGCGTCTCTCTAAGGGCTGGTCTACATTAGGGCAGGGATTGATCTAAGATATGTAACTTCAGCTACGAGAATAGCATAGCTGAAGTCGACGTATCTTAGATCGACTTACCTCGCGTCCTCACTGCGCGGGATCGACGGCCATGGCTCCCCCGTCGACTCCGCTTCTGCCTCTCACCCTGTTGGAGTTCCAGAGTCGACGGGGAGCACGTTCGGGGATTGATTTATTGCATCTAGACGAGATGCGATAAATCGATCCCCGATAGATCGATTACTACCCGCCGATCCGGCGGGTAGTGAAGACATACTCTAAGCCTCAGGCCTGTTCTCTTACCCTCCCTTCTGTGCAATCAGGGTTCAGGAGTCGGGGCCTTTAGAGCATTAGGGCTGATTTCACTGAACCAAAGCTGCTTCTTTACTAGCCAAGAAAGCGGAATAATAGACCCACTCCTCATCTCGGACCTCTACTGTGCATCTGCGCTAAGGGGTGAGGAGTGGTTAGCTAAATAGATGTTAAGTACGTTAATGTGGACATATCCACAGACCCCCATACAGAGAGGGATGTGAGAGAGACAGGGCTAGATTAGGGGGATTTCCAGCAATGATCTCATCCATCCATTTGCTGGTGTCCTAGTACCGCAGTTGTAATAAGTTCCCTTGCGATTCCTGTAATCTCTCTCATTTCCTGCTCTTTCTCTGGAGGGCATCTTACTTGGGAGACAGAATGCAGGGGCAGAAGCAGACGTGATAATTAATCTCTATAGATGTGTTATCCCCAGCTCAGAATTAACATCCCATGGGGCTCAATGGCCGTTGAGGTTAATTAAAATGTTGACATTTCTAATGAGTTCCCAGGCTGAGCCTTCTCACTTCTCTGGAGACCAGGCTCAAAAGTTACTCTTGGCTTGCATGAGCTAAGTTCTGTGTGTCATTGCCATGAACACCAGAACCGGAACTGCCTTTGAGTATGTTAGTTTGTATTATCACTATTTTTATCATTGGGATTATGGTACGACCTACAGTCTGGAACTGAGACTTAGGCTGCTTCGTGCCACACCCCGCAGAGACACATAAGAAGAGACAGTCCCTGTCTGAATGTGATACACATTTAATAGCTGAGAGTGACAAAGGATTTAAAACCACGTATGACAGATGGAGAAACTGAGTCACAAAGCAATTTAGTGAGTTACTGAAGGGCAATCAGAGACTCTTCTAGAGAGACTGTACTGGAACCCAGATCTCCTGTGTTCCAGGTCTTTGTCTTACCCACAAGATAATGGTTTGCCAATAATTCCCATGGGCTCTCTTCCTTCTGCACAACCCACCCCCGAACTGATTTTTCACTTTGCTGTCTGGTCACCCTAGTTGAGTTGATACAGTTCTGAGTTACAAAATACTATAGCCATCTGCTCACCCTCCTTCTCCCTTTATGGGTGCCCCGCGCCCATGGCTTGGAGGTAAAGAGAGCTTCCCCACTATCCATCAGCAGCTACTGTGGTTTATAAAATCAATGTGCACAATTTCTGCACTGAACTTCCATTCCAGGTTTTCATTTCTCAGGCAGCATAGTCTGGATTTGTGGCTCTGTGGACATTGGTTCCCTGGAGAAACAACAGAGAAATTTCAGGACAAACCCCCATAGTGCAAAGGGGGCGCTGCAGTTCAGGGAGCAGTGAGGGCAACTTAGTAGGGGGCGCTCTTCCCTCTGAGTCAGGGCTGTTTCTCATGCCACGGTGTTGGGCTCGCATGTGCTGCTCTGTAGATAGAAGTGCCAGGGACCAGGCTCACGGCATCTCCCCCAGATTCCTTTCACTTCTTTTATTGTATTATTTTTTCATTTCAAGGCACAAGGTTAAACCCATGTCCCAGGAGTCAGGGATAATTCTGAGCAACGCACTATTGTTTCTGTTGTGTGGAAGGCTCGAGGCCCTGTTGCAGTAGGGCCTGTACCCACACATGGCCAGAGACAGCCCCTGCCCCAAAGAGTTTACAAGAGAAATGGGTGGGAGAAAAGGATAATTTTTACCACCGTGTCTCAGGTGGGGAACTGAACCCCAAGGAGATGATGTCATTCACCTAAGTTCCTGCCTTGCCCTCATTAACCCTGGCATGAATGTATTCTCTTCCTGCCTCACCTCAGCACTGGGTAACTTTATTGACCGCATGCATCACCAGAACCCTAGTGTCACCCAACTGCCCTGCCTCAATCCGAGCAGAATTCCTTTCACCTTTTCCCTAGCGCTAACCCTAGGATAACACCAGCATCCTCCTCCCTCGCCCTGGGAAAACTCCACTGACATCCATCCCAACCCTAACCCTGGAATAACTCCACCAAACTCCTCCACAGTCGGGATCTGGATCCGGAGTGACGGAAGCTCCCTAAAAGTGAGGATCCACTGGCACCTGAACAGTGGACAAGCCACCCCTGCTGCCCCTTCCCCTGGGGCCCCGCTCTCACATCACCTCTTCTCCCAATGCCTTGCCCCCCACTCTCTCCTCTCTATATACTCTACTCTCTCCTCCCTATATTGCTCGGAGTGCATTAAGGAGGAATATTGAGTCCGAGCAGAGAGTTGATTTTAC